CCGCAGCACATCACCTGAGCTCCACCTTTCAGGTCGAAGCACTGAGCTGGTCGTTCTGTGGAAATCCTAAAATACCTCGGAGAATTTGACTTTTCCTACTTTTCTTCTGAGAAGATCGACTGAACGTTGGAGTGAGATCCGGCCGTCTCTGTTTTTCTCATCGCTCCCCAGAGATGAAAAGTACATTCTACAACTCGACGTCTCCTGATTTAGAACGGCTACGCTGCCTCTCATCCTGTATGATTGAATTAAATTCTGCCTTCTCTCGAGGGGCTTTCTCACTTCAGGGGTGTAGCGGTGCAGGTCACATGAGCAGATCCCTCACTGTCTGGGTGAAGTCATGTGTGAATTAAATGCCTCATCACTTTGCTGAGGCAGTGTCAGCTGTGAAAGTTAATTGTAGGGATCTCCAGTACGGTGTGCACACATGTGAGCACGCATGAGTGGGACGTCAGTGGAGCTGACGTAGCCTGACACACACACACACACACGTTTGATTAAGGTCTTTAGCTCATGGTTTTTAACCTGGTTCCAGAACAGTAGTATTACTTTCTCTCAGGTCGACCTTCTAGAAGGTTCTGTGTTTGGACTCTGTGATCAGCTGTCGAGTCTGTCTCTCCCATAAATCACATCTTTCATAAAGAAATAAAATGCCTCTCTCGCTCCAAGTCTTAAATCTTGCTCTTCCGTGTTGCCATCTCCTGGGCCTCACTTGCCTGACGACACTGTGGGTAAACTCTGTTCTGCCAGTGCAGTTAATTGCTGTATGAATCTTATCTGTCTTAGCAGGAACAGTAGATAAGAGAGAGGCTGTTGTTCTTCCAAGGAAGACGCAGCGTTTACAGTAAGAACAAAAATCATTACTGATGTGATGATGTGCTCGCAGAGACGGACGACAGACGGAATTCACATTTGACTGATGATCAGGGTACGTGTGGTGTTGATCGTCTCACTCTCACTGGTCACTGATCTGTTTCTAAAATAGATTCATCAGAGGATGATGTCAGCGTCTTTACCCTCTGTTAGCTGCACATTCACCAAGCGTGGGTGTATAGTAAACATGAAGTACCAACATGGAGCCAGTTGGAGGAGCTTAGCATAAATTCACAGGTCTTTTGGGGTCACAGCTATTTTCAGATGAAACCCAGTAAGTGCATCAGCAGCTACCACACTCAACAGCACATGAATCTAGAGGCAGACTACACAACCTCACAGTCTGAAGTCATGAGCTCTGTGGTCCAGCTTCACTTTGGCACCCCCTGCTGTTAGCTGTCATGGTTCTTTATACTTTATAGTCTGTTGACCACAATCTATAAATCTTCTCGATGAACGGCCCCACCTGGAGTTGACGTTGGGTCATCGGGTGAGGGTGGGGTCGTTATCATCAAACAAAAGCTAACAAATAATCTCATCCTGCATGTATTCATGTATTGGCAGGAAACCTGAAGTACAGGTACCAGTACACACCAGTAGAAACTTCATAGAGGAGGATCGGGAATTAAACCAGCAAACAACTTATCCCGCCTTAAAGCAATGTTGCAAAGCCATTATGTCGCCCTCAAAATTGAAGTCGTAAAAAACAAGGCCTGGCACAGCAAAATGAACTAACATGCACTTGGCTGACAAGTCATTTTGTCTTTACTGCAGAAAAAGCTGTTGACGTGACCTTCACTCCTTCAAGAAAAGAAAGCAAATAAGTATTTTCCCAAAATGTCAAACTGTTCCTTCAGGAACTGAGCCTGGAAGTAACAATTCAGTCGACGTCAACATCAGATTAGAAACTGTGAAATGTTGCCTTTGAAAAAACCTGGTGTTTTTTCACCTACAGAACAGTATACCTCCACGGACGCCTGGTTCCCTACATCCGTAGTTCTGCCGCAGATTGTTGCGGGTGTAAAGATTCCACTGAATACCAGAACACGGGGTTTGGATTTCCGGCAGTCAGCCAAGTCACTGACCTTTCCAGTGTGTGCAGATCGATAAGGCTCAACATCGCAGGGCTCCGGAAATCTCTCAGCAGAGAGACAAGAAGCTCAGGACCCACACTGTCAGACGATGCGCTAATTGCTTGTGGTTGCTAAGCTCACCTACCCCTGCTGGAAGGATCTCAGCAGTAGGACTTCCTGTTCCTGGGTTCCCGGGCGAGACGTGGCCCCTAAATCACTCGGAGCCAAAACATGAGTC